GTGGAGGGGAGCTCATTCCATAGACGGATGGTGCGTGGCAAAAAAGATCTCTGGAAGCGCACTGTGGATGACCGCAGTGGCTCCAGGTAGTATGGATGAACTCTACTCCGGTGGCGGGCGGTGCGGTGGTAAAAACGAGATGCCGGTATCATCTCGAATAATTCCTCAGAGCACTCCCCATGGAACATACGGTACAAAATACAGAGGGAACCGAAGTCCCTCCGCAGANCAGTGGCTCCAGGTAGTATGGATGAACTCTACTCCGGTGGCGGGCGGTGCGGTGGTAAAAACGAGATGCCGGTATCATCTCGAATAATTCCTCAGAGCACTCCCCATGGAACATACGGTACAAAATACAGAGGGAACCGAAGTCCCTCCGCAGACCCAGAGGTTCCAAACGATCCGAGAGAATGGGATTATCGACAATCCGAACAGCCATCTTCTGTAGGGAATCAAATGGAAGAAGCTGGTATTTGGGAGCCCCGGCCCAGAGATGGGAGCAGTACTCCACGCGAGGCCGGACGTGTGCTTTATAAAGCAACTCAAAGCTTTTGCGACTGCGCAACTTTTAAAATAGCCAATAGAAGTAGGCAGTAACACATGACAACATTTGAGGTTTAAACGTTTTAAAATGAGTACATAAAGTCAATAAATATTGAATGGAATTTATGTGAGATTGTTCTCTTAACATAGCAGTAATAATAGTCATACATTTATATATGTGATACTGCGGTTCTATTTCTGATGAAACTATTAATAGATATCTCTGAACACAAATCTCACGTGGTTCGTGCTACCAGTCTGACGTTACTGGTAACTATAATATATACTTATACTATCTCCATATATATACAAAAATGAATTGCTGTTCGTTAGTCTCGCTATAACTCGAGAACGGCTGGACCTATTTGGCTAATTTTAGTCTTAAATTATTTGTGAAAGTCCAGAGAAGGTTTAAAAGGTAGATAAATATGAAAATACTCGGAATTAAATAAAAATAACAATTTTGTTTTTCCTTTGATGTGTCCCCCATCGGACGGATTCCTTTTGTCTTTTATTTATCGATTGAGGCACTACGAAGTCTGCCGGGTCACGAGTGAATTAACCCATAGACACAGCCCACTGAGTTTCTCGCCGGATCTTCTCAGTTGTCGCGTTTCCGATCCGGTGGTAGATTCTGCGAAGCACTGCACTTGCTAGGGCCAGTGTTAGCAACACCTCCTGATTTGAGCCCTGTGACCTACTATTTCGATGAACCTAGAAAGAACCCTTCGAGGCAACTAGAATAGGTAGGATAAAACAAAAAGAGTAGTGACGGCCTATCTTTCGTAAACTATGTATTAGTACTGGTGGTAGGACCTTTTGTGAGTCCGCGCGGGTAGGTACCACCACCCCGCCTATATCTGCCGTGAAGCAGTAATGCGTTTCGGTTTGAAGGGTGGGGCAGCCGTTGTAACTATACTTGAGGCCTTAGAACTTATATCTCAATGTGGGTGGCGCATTTACGTTATAGATTGTCTATGGGCTCCAGTAACCACTTAACACCGGGTGGGCTGTGAGCTCATCTACCCATCCAAGCAATAAAAAAAAATTCTACGAGTTAGACAATCACACGGACACCTGTTGCAAGTTGTTTTTTTTTTGTAATGTTGTTGTTTCGTAACTTCACTTAGGTACTCGTGCAATATTGATTAAAATTGTGTTATTTAATTATCGTCACGTTTATTGCTTCGTATACAAAGCTATCGTCATAATTTTAATGCAAAAACTCTAATAGCACTTGTTTTGCTTCGGATAATTGATTTAATAACAAACATGTTTAGACATGTCCTTCTTCGAACGAGGCTTGTGGAGAGTACTTGACGGTAGGCAGCGGCTTGGCTCTGCCCCTGGCATTGCTGAAGTCCATGGGCGACGGTAATCACTCACCATCAAGTGGGCCGTATGCTCGTCTGCCTACCAGGGCAATATATATAATTGAAACTAGCCGACCCGACAGACTTCGTTGTGCCTGAATCGATAAATAAAATACCTAAACTTTTGTATAAAATAAACTTAAAACAAACAAAATGAATCCGTCCGTCCGGGGACACATCAAAGGGAAAACAAAATTGTTATTTTTATTTAATTCCGATCATTTTCATATTTATCTACCTTTTCAACCTTCTCTGGATTTCCACAAATAATTCAAGACCAAAATTAGCCAAATCGGTCCAGCCGTTCTCGAGTTTTAGCGAAACTAACGAACAGCAATTCATTTTTATATAGTTATATAGAAGATTACAAGCACTATTTAGATTTTTGACGGATTTTTTCTAATCTCTGGTCACTGCTAAAGTATTTTAAAGTGTTTAGAGGGGGGTTGTTATCTCATAGGCTTCCTACGACCGACTGACTAACGACGGGCCATAAACTAGAAACAATACACAATATTCAATGAACAAACATATTTTAATACTCACTCCCAACTTAACAATATCAATGTCAATAAAACAAATATATTTTTATCGTAAACAATTGTTTAAACAAAATCGAATACAAATTATTATCGGTATAAAAGTTCTCGTTATGAAATTTCAAACGGAAAGACCTCAGTCGGTCGCGAGTCCTTTCGCGAGACGTGTCATTGACTAGTCAACGACATGTTAGTTTTGGTGATTCCAATGTGTTCCTCTTACCTCAAAATGATGAGACTGATCGAGGTATTGTGCGGGTGTGGTGTAAATATCTTGATGCTATTTCGTTACTTAAAAAAAAAAAAATTATTCTTAATATATTATTTCTAGATATATTGGATACAAGTCGTCTTGGCCAAAATGAATAAGAAACTTATGTGCTAGTATCGACCGATACGGTTGTTCAAATCCCACAGGCGGGTACCAATTCTTCTAATGAAATACGTACTTAACAAACGTTCACGATTGACATCCACGATGAAGGAATTGAACTATTGTACAGTTGCGATGTAGACCACATTCGCTTTGTGATATCTGTGAAGCCGGGTAACCGCTTAAAATCGGATGGACCGTGCTCTAGTTCATCCGTCTAAGCAGCAAAATAATGGACGGATTTTTTTTCCTACCTATTCTAGTAGCCTCATGGGGTTATTCTAGATTCAGATTCTATTCTAGTACTAGTGAGTGAGCTCACGATGACGACGTTGCCAAACACGAACCCTAGCAAGAGCCGTGCTTCGCAGAACCTACCACCGGATCGGAAACGCGACCCACTGAGAAGATCCGGCGAGAAACTCAGTGGGCTGTGTCTGTGGCTTAACTCGTCGAGCCCTTCGCCGCAAGCGACGGGTTCGACGAGAACGGTGACCGGTGCTGAGGTACCTAAAAGCACCGTTAGTGGATCGGGAGGATCCGAAATGACGTGTTTTGGGCGACGTCGACTGCTTTCCATTCGGTCCGCAGGATTGGAAATTATTGCTTTGCTTATACTCGTGCAGACAGGCAGAAGAGATTACGGATAGTCTAATGTTAAACCGTAATTGAATAGTTAGGAATTTTCAACAACATGTATGTTGTATACCCACCCGGTTTTCTCATTGGCCATGATAAAAAGTAACGTATCCATTAATCTAAATTAAAAACAATTTCATGCTAATAAATACGCTGGCTCATTTATGCGTGATAAACAACAAACATAAACTTTCTCATTTATGATATTATATTAGTTATCTATCACTCGACTTTATTTTGTTATCAGGCGTGCCCAGGCTTACATTGATGATTATTTAAATACATTAATAATAAAGATTAATCATGTTCCAATTCTTGAAAAGCTTACTTGTAGTTTGTATGTAGGGTTGCCACCTTTATTTTTGCATATAAAGTACACTGGTTATTATAGATAGAAAAAAAAGTACACAATACTAATATAAAGTAGTAGATTTTATTATTATTATTATTATTATGTTTAAATACATATTTTTTTATAACAATTGAACAAATTAAACAAGACAGTGACATTGTTGACAAGTTCCGTTATGAAATATTTGTTAAAAAAAGAGTGCTTAGGTGATGTGGCGTTAATGAATAAAATACATATTATGATTAAACTTTTCTGAATCCCAAAGAAACCAAATCATGCCAAAAAATTATTTTCGTGTTCATTTCGTAATATTCGTTACAATTACCTGAAATAACGTACAATATTTTATTAAATAAAGTACGGGTGGCAACCCTATTTGTATGCTTCATAGAACAGATGGCCCACCCAAAAAGCCGGTATAGTAAAAGCTATTAGTAAAATAAGCACAGTTGAGTTGAGACGTCAATGAACTTTTCTTCGCATATTTATTGAACAACAATAAATTGGTATTTTATTCGGTATTCGCGGGTCGTAAACATGATTAAAACGACTTTTACCGTTTAGTTTCGCTTAGTTTTTTTTAAATATTGTCAGCGTAAAATTCAAATATCGACGAATAACACCTTAATTCTCGGAGAGTAGACGAACTCGTGGCCAAATTGAGAATAGATTAAATATTATTTGTCTAAAGTGTAGTCTTGGCGAAATCTGTGAATATAGAAGTATAAATAGTCTTTGACAATTCTTCTCAGTCGTATGCACTCTTGGCAGAGTGGTCGTGGTCATCACTTCGGTTGGTGTTGCGCTTGACCAGACGTCGCCATTCCTCGCGTACCGCGGCCCTTCTTGTGCACTGTGACAGTAGAATCTTAATAGTAATAATTAAACAAACTTATAATTTCAATTAATTAAAGTCGAATTTCGACTAGATGTAATATGCCCTGCGTAAACCCTGTTCCGTCGTCTCAATAGCTCCGACTGGGTTCCCGCCCGGTCCGGGGTAAGGCGCCGCCTGTGAGCGGCAGGAGTTTTTAGTGAGGTTCAACTCCCACGTCTTTCTCATTTTCTTCGGTGGAAAAAAAAGACCCGGCGACCACTAGTTCTGATTAATATCTAAACGATTTGAAGTAGGTATAGTGTGTGTAATAAGACTAATGAGGCGTTTGTTTGTGTGTCGACAGGTGACAGCGTCGTCTAGCGAGATGGGTGAGCGGGAGCGTTACCGCGCCCCGCCGGAGCCTCCGCCGCGACGAGCCGCCGACCTCTTCCCGCGGCACCGCACGCACTACGACGAGCCCGACCTCGACGCCGGCTTCTCGCCCATCCCCGGCGAGTTTGTGCAGGTAACACACGTCTTTTTTTTATTTATTGATTAGATGGGTGGAAGATCTCTCAGCCCACCTGGTGTTAAGTGGTTACTAGAGCTCATAAACATCTATGACGTGAATGCGCCACCCACCATTGAGATATAAGTTCTAAGGTCTCAGTATAGTTACAACGGCTGCCCCACCCTTCAAACCGTAACGCATTACTGCTTCACGGCAGAAATAGACAGGGCGGTGGTACCTACCCGCGCAGACTCACAAGAAGCCCTACCACCAGTACCGTCTTAACGTAACCGAAGCAGGCTAAAATAAAACGAGCGCGACACTTTTATTAGAGTAGTAAACTGGTGGTAGGACTTCTTGTGAGACGGCACAGATAGGTTTTTGGAGATAAATGTACTACGAAACCCGATGCAAAATAGTTGATCTAGTGTGAAATTTTGTTTGAAACACGTTTTGGGCTGTGTCTATGGACTAATTTGTAAGTCGAACTATCCGTTATAATCGACGAGTTCGACCAGGCTTGTGACCGCAGTTTGAAGACCCTAAAGGCACAGAGAACGGACCCAGAGGATCCTACAATCCGAACACTTTGGCAGAACTTTGATAGCGCAAATTCGACTTGACAACAAATCACCATTATTACTGTGTATCAGAACTTCTGTTGTCATATTTAAAAAGATTAAGTAAAACATCACCCCGTAATAAGCCTTAGTACGGGAATCACAACAAAAACAGTCTCTGAACTCGAGAGGCGGTCATTTCAAGGCCTAAAATCGGTGTGTTGATTACATAGAATTATCGGACAAACTACCCACAAAATCGGAACATTGAATTCATTGCGCCAGATTCACGGTATGGATACAAATGGTTCATTAGCTCTCGGTCTACAGAGGGACTTCGGCTGTCTCTGTACTTTGTACCGTAGCTTCCTTGGGGAGTGTTTTGAGCAATTGTTCGAGATGATTCCATCATCTCATTTTTACCGCCGTCCACCACTATAGCAAAGTTTATCCGAACTGCCTAGAATCACTGCGTTCGTCCTTCGTTCGTTTCCAGTAATATTTTTTGCCACTTACCACTTAGGTTTACTTTAAAATAAATTTGGGCGTTTCCTCGGTGCTGTGGCATGTCCTTCTTCAAAACAGGCTCAAGGAGAATAGCCCGGCATTTTTGACATACGTCACCAACGTTAATCACATCCTTTCAAACGGGCCGTCAATATTCTTGACACAGAAAATGATTACCTAAAATGATGCTAACGACTACTTCATGCGTCCTCCAAATTCTGGTACCTACGTCGCGGAAATTAATGTCTCCAATAATACGAGAATCGATTAATAGTACGCGCGTCGGCCTTTAAGGTCATCGGGTCGATTGCACGAGGTTCATCGACCGAGATCACAATTCTATAGCATTTAGCATAGGACTAGTTCGCATTCCCGAGAGTGCGATGCACCGCCTTATCGGAATGCGTGCGCGTGCGTCGGGTTCGAAGTTCACATATTATTATGTGTATACGTAACGTGACCATTTTTAGTTTTACTCAAAACGGGACGTTGGTTTATTTGGCAGAATTGACAGGTACATAATGAAAAAAAAGTACTTTTTTAAAGTTATTATTCTTTTTTTTTATTGCTTAGATGGTTGGATGAGCTCACAGCCCACCACCAGGGTTGTGAGCCACTCACAGGTACCACAACCCTGCCTATTTCTGCCGTGAAACAGTAATGCGTTTCGGTTTGAAGGGTGGGGCAGCCGTTGTAACTATATTTGAGACCTTAGAACTTATATCTCAAGGTGGGTGGCGCATTTACGTCGTAGATGTCTATGGGCTCCAGTAACCACTAAACACCAGGTGGGCTGTGAGCTCGTCCACCCATCTAAGCAATAAAAAAAGAGTTAATAATTTACATAAAAAAAAAAAAATTGTTGTAGTCTTTATTGGTGTTGTTGATAAACAGTCCCCTATCTAAAACATTATCGCACGTGTCAGGTATCTTAATAGAATCATTTTGTTTGTAATAATTTTTAATTTCATTTTCCACATAACGATTATCACGTTAAATATTGCTCAGAAGCTTAGAAAACACGGGAATGAATGCTACATATGATTTATATCGATGGATAATGTAGTTATAGGTTGCACAAAAAATAATGTAAAGCAAAAGAATGAAATACAAAATACTCGTAGATTATATTTTTAATTTATACAGATGAATAAAACAAGTTTCTTGTTATTAGAGAAATTAGGTTAGATAACCAATATTTCGATATGTAAATGATTCTAATTTTGGGTTACTCATCACAGACATTTTGAAGGGTATGTTTTTCATCGCTTAACTTTTAATTAACTCCCTCGTAGATCTTATAAATCGACAGTTTTGTAAAAATTAACCCATGCATTTCGATCCGGTAGCAGATTCATTCGCGAAGCAGCTGCTCTTGAGTTGTTAGGTCTCCTTCGGAGGCGCTCGAGCAACTGTTAGCAAATCCCACCCCTCCTGGCTGAGCCACCTGTCCAAGTGCTGTTGCTCGCCCACCTGTCCAAGTGAAAATGGAAAGGCCTCCGGGCCACCAGTAATCCTTCAATCCTAAAAAAAGGTTTTGTAAACATGAATTACATAGATACCTAAATTCTGAGGCACAGTCCGACAACTTTGAGAGTCACTGTGCTAATATTATTTCAGACAAGAAAACAACGTACTTATAATTAAAAAAAAAACTATTTTGCTTCTGGCTCCGAAAAGCAATACCATTCCGATACAATTAAAATTTCCACTTTAGTAATTTGGCTGATAACTGGTAGCATTTAGCTGGTAGCGTCGTCGTGTCTATGAACTCCCCACCACCGGATCGGAAACGCGACCCACTGAGAAGATCCTGCGAAAAACTCAGTGGGCTGTGTCTATGGGTTAATTCGCTCGTCGAGCCCTTAGTCGCAAGCGACGGGTTCGACGAGGACGGTGACCGGTGCTTGTGGTGCCTAAAAGCACCGTTAATGGATCGAGAGAATCCGTAATGACGTGCTTTGGGCGACGTCGACTGTTTACCATTCGGTCTACAGGATCGGCCAATTGACGCTTCCTAACATTTGTATAGAAAAAACAAGGTTAGATGTACTAGGAATGCATAAACGAAATAGATGTTGTTTGTTCGCAGTGGGTCAGTAGAACGGCAGATGGCGGCACTATCGCCATGTCGAACTACAGATTACACGCTCAGCCGAGACGCCGACACGGACCCGGCTCGTCCGTTCCCTTGCGTCTCATCGATGCTTTGGAGATTCGGGATATACAGCATCTGATCATTCTTTGCAAGAATGGTGGCCAATTGAAGTAAGTACCATCATCTGCTAGTGGATATGATACCCTGGTAATAACAGTAATAGATAATCTAAACGAATTAGCTTATATAAGAAAACTAGTTGTACCCGTCCGCTTTGCTGGGCATTTAAAATTAACATTATTATTTCTCACCCCCACAAATATTCTCATCATTAACGCCCCCGCAACTGGTGTAGGGAGTCCAACACTCATAAATATTAGCCTATCGATTAAGTACATGTATTTTCCACATGGATACCAAATTTCAAGTCAATCGGATGCATGGTTCAGTAGTTATAACGGAACATCCGTAAAAACTGTAGATTTATATATTAGTATAGGTAGATGACCAGTTGTGATTGACATGTAAGATTTTTTTGCGAAGATTCATTATTATTGTACATAGTATTTCCGCGTGTCTCACAGTGTTCTGGTTTCTAAAGTATCGCCTTTTTAAAGTTTCGAACTCCACGCAATATCCTCTAAAATTATAATTAATATTATAATAATATTATTATCTCGGACTTTTCCAATACTTTACATTTTTCTTGGTCACGGACGACTGTCCCGTGAAAGTCAGAAGTAATACGATGACAATCCATGATCTCACGTTTTATTTTATTGTCATTGTTATTGTTATTCTCATTTTATTTATTTTATTATACGTATTGAAAGGTAGAAGTTGTTTTACGTCTACAAGTCGCGAGAATCGAAGAAAATACTCCAATATCCCTAAACACTTTCGGAGTATGAAAGTCTTCACTCCAATTAGTTCACATGTGTCGCACCTATGACTTTTTTACCAAACTACGTTCTAGTTTTGTCTACCAATTCCTCTATGGCAATTATAGATTACTTACATCAAGTAACTGAATGGTACCCTCGAGAGGGGAAAAGATTAAAAGGACGACCGTTCCAAAGGTGGGTAGACGATATAAAGGCCGTTGCAGGCTCTACGTGGAAGAGGAAATGCCACGACCGGAACTTATGTCAGGATTTGGGGGAGGCCTATGCGAAAGCAAAACAATCTTAGCCGATATCAAATGAAAAAAAAAATTACCTAAATATGAATTAAGGTTGTTAATAAAGGCTTCTTTATCTTTATCTTGCATCAAGTGTGACGGAATATTTTAACCTTTTTTTACCTTCAAACAAGTCTACATATTTTCATTGGTACAGCTCCTATCATTTAGGTCCGATTCGGTCAACCGTTGGTCAAGCGCGGGCCAACGTTGGTGATAGCGTTGTTGTCATTACGCCGAATTGAGGTTACCGACAGATAAAAACATTGGCAACAGCCCAAAGAAAGTGATATGTAAAATTTTCCTTAAAAACAATAAGATAACCGTTGCCTAAATGATTTTTAAATTATTATTTTGTTGTATCCCGAAATCGTTATCTGGTAGCTATGCGCTCACACCCAAAAGGGTGAATTCTGTAATGTTTTTTTTTTTTTCTAAATAAGTTCAATGTTTATGTGTGCAGATTTTATCCAGTTGTGGGTCCTTTTCAATTTTGGCGCCAAAAAAATAACGATTTCATGAATTTAAACTTTCTTTAATTGTTCATATATTTTTTGGTATTTAGGCGTGTTCAGAGTAAAAAATTCTTCATCACAATCAAGTCAATCTCTCATTTATTGATAATCTATATATTAATACGTGAAGTAAAAACTTTGTATCCCTTTTTACGAATATTGCGCGGACGGACGGGTATGAAATTTTCCACACTTATAGAGAATATAGAGAAGAAGTGCACAATGCTAATTTTTTTTTAAATAATGCTTAACAGGTACAATAAATCAATAAAGGAAACATTACACACACTACCATGTATTTGACGCACACACGCATGCATACTATTTATTTATTGTCAAACTTTTGTTCTTGACGTTAGGGTCAAATTGAGAATAGATTAAATATTGTTTTTCTTTATTAATATTTTTCTACAGTGTAGTCTTGGCGAAATTTGTGATTAATGAAATAGAATCATAATATTGTACAAGCTTACAATTTCAATTAAATATAGTCGAATTTCGACTACTGCGGGATCACTAGTATTATAATATAATATCCATTTATATTTTTCATTTTACGCATTTGATAACGCCAACACGGATGACAATTTAAATAGGAACTTTTTTTAGAAAGCTTAGAAATCGTACTTCTTTTGTTTTTAACAATGTTCTAATATCCAGTTAGTTTTTCCTTTATTATTGTTTTATATACTGATTAAATAAAATTGCCGAATTCCAACACGCATTACTGGTAAAATAGCAAACAAATTAGAATTTGAATTTCAAACCAGTGATACGAATGAAATTTGGGGAAGTTTTTAATGTATATAACTCCTAATTTAACAGTTTACGAATATATAGTTATAGGCCCACGTGCCTGTTGTCATGACAACAAATTTACTGTACTTATAATGACGGTAACATTAAGGTTATGAGAATTAAATCAAATAACTCGCTTTTGACCCCCAATTTGAAAACGACCCTTGTGTGAAACTAATAATATAATAATTAAAAAAATGGTATAAATCTATATCTGTAACTACTAATATATAAATCTACAGTGGTTTTTACGGATGTTCCGTTATAACTACTGAACCATGCATCCGATTGACTTNCTTATAATGACGGTAACATTAAGGTTATGAGAATTAAATCAAATAACTCGCTTTTGACCCCCAATTTGAAAACGACCCTTGTGTGAAACTAATAATATAATAATTAAAAAAATGGTATAAATCTATATCTGTAACTACTAATATATAAATCTACAGTGGTTTTTACGGATGTTCCGTTATAACTACTGAACCATGCATCCGATTGACTTGAAACTTGGTATCCATGTAGTAAATACATGTATTTAATGGATAGGTTAATATTTATATGAGTGTTGAATAATAATGACAATAAATAATAACGTTAATTTTAAATGCCCAGCGAAGCGGGCGAGTCGATATATCGACGCTTGAAAGGCAAACGTGACTAAGCGACAATAACTGCTTTGTACATAAATGATAGGCAATAACCATATTCGATGCGCAAAAAATATATATTTCTAGGTCTATTAAAATCATTTCAATGCTACAGCTAGATTAGTTAAAATAAAATTTTTTCAGGTATTTCAACTTTAAATTATTAGTCTACTGTAAAGTTCACGCGTAGTCGCTTAGTCACGTTTGCCTTTCAAGCGTCGATATAAAGATGTTGTTGCGAATGACAGATGTACGTTCAACACCGGTGATCAGTGTCTGGAGTGGTGGCGCCGGCTGTCAACAGCCGCACTCTCGCCCCTGACTTCCATCCAGGACACTTTCGCTGCTGCTTACGCCGCCTGGGCTAAGGAGCAGCCCAAGTCGTCCGTGCATCGTGCTTTGATCGACGATTCCATGGCAACCCAGCGACACTGGTTCACGATCGAAGTGAGTATATGTAAAAAAGTAAAATAACAATCACAATTAATTACGTAACAATCACATTTTAGTTCTGCTGCTCTTGAAATTATACTCAGACCTTAGCATTTCCGATCCTGCGGACAGAATGGAAAGCAGTCGACGTCGCCCCAAACACGCCATTTCGGTTCCTCCCGATCCACTAACGGTGCTTTTAGGTACCTCAAGCACCGGTCATCGTTCTCGTCGAACCCGTCGCTTGCGACGAAGGGCTCGACGAGTAAATTAACCCTCAGACACAGCCCACTGAATTTCTCGCCGAATCTTCTCAGTGGGTCGCGTTTCTGATCCGGTGGTAGATTCTGCGAAGCACTGCTCTTGCTAGGGTTCGTGTTAGCAACGTCGTTAGGTTTGAGCTCACCTACTAGTTAAGGTTACGCTGATATAGCCTCTCAAGGCTCTCAGCTTAGAACTTATATCTCAAGGTGGGTGGCGCGTTTACGTTGTAGATGTCTATGGGCTCCAGTAACCACTTGACACCAGGTGGGCTGTGAGCTCGTCTACTCATCTAAGTAATAAAAAAAAATTATTAATACGTTCAAATAATGTTAGCAGTGTTTTCGTTCAGTGATTGAATTTCGATCATAGTGACTCAAACATCAAGACTTGATTTATTTCACATTTTCACCTTTGATTTGTTGTTGACATTCTGAAGACCAAAAAAATAACATTTTCCCCCCTCTTGGCTTAGCCCGCGTTTGTTCACGTGGCCTGGTGAAACTGGAAAGGTCACTGGGCAACAAATTTGACAACTCTCATTAAAAAAAAAAGAATTTGTAACTATTATACATATACATATTGTCAAGTAACCAATATTGCCGATTTAAATACATACATACAAATTAATAAACACATTTAAGGATAAGGCAGCAATTAATACAATTTAATTGAGGTGACCTCATGTCTCAAAGTGGATTGGACCAAATTAAATGGTCTCCAGTAATCAATTAACATCAAGTTGGCCTTGAGCTCCTACCCACATATATCTATTTTAATATTCGTTATTTAAAATTAGATCAACTAATACGAACTGTTAAAAATAAACAGTAAATTATCGGTACAAATAATAAACAAGTAGTTTGCATAATTTAGTGGAATTATGCAATTAGTTCGCGGCACGTGATAACGTTATCAGTCACGACCTCGAAACGATCGCAACGTGAACACCTATCTATCTGTAAGTTGTTGTCACGTAGTTTTAGTGCAATTGTTACATTCTATGTTCTCCTGGTACCTATTTCACTTAACGACGTTTAAGACAATTATTTATGAATATATAATACATTGAAAACAAAATATTGTAGCAAAAAGTTCTTAAGCACCGTTATGCTTTGACACTCGATGAAATGACATTAAAAAAAGAGAAATGTATATAAATAAATCTATAGGATTTGGCCTTTTTTTTTATTGCTTAGATAGGTGGACGAACTCACAGTCCACCTAGTGTTAAGTGGTTACTGGAGCCCATAGACATCAACAACGTAAATGCGCCACCGACCTTGAGATATAAGTTCTAAGGTCTCAGTATAGTTACAACGGCTACCCCGCCCTTCAAACCGAAACGCATTACTGCTTCACGGCAGAAATAGGCAGGGTGGTGGTACCCACCCGCGCGGACTCACAAGAGGTCCTACCACCAATTGCGAATAAACTTTGAAAACCAATTGTTGTAGCAAAAAGTTCTTAAGCACCGTTATGCTTTGACACTCGATGAAATGACACTAAAAAAAAAGAGAAATGTATATAAATAAATCTAAAGGATTTGGCCTGCGAGAGAACGAGATACAATACGGCTTAATGTTTCATTTCATTTTTTCGTTGAATTGCAATTAATTACAAATGAATGCAATTTATTGCATGTATTACGAAAAAGAAAAAAAAAATTAGAATTTGAAATCTAAAAGCATAGTTGAAGTATTTAAATTTGATAAAATACAACTTGAGTTAGTTGTATATGATGATTGTCAAAGAAAGGTTTTTTTTGTTTTTTTTTTCCTCTATCTATGTTGATAGCCTTGAGAGGCTATTTCAGCTTCTCCTTGACGTGTTGCTAACACTGGCCATAGCAAGAGCAGTGCTTCGTAGAATCTACCACCGGATCGGAAACGAGACCTGAGAAGATCTGACGAGAAACTCAGTGGGATGCGTCTATGGGTTAATTTACTTCGTCGCAAGCGACGGGTTCGGCGACAACGGTGACCGTTGCTTGTGGTACCTAAAAGCACCGTTAATGGATCGGGAGGATTCGTAATGGCGTGGAAAGTTATTCAAAACTTTTTGAAGTTTCGGAATGAATAAAACAAAAAATGAATTGGTGACTCGTATGAAGGTCGGACCCTTGTGCTATGTTAATGAAATATTGTATAGGTTGTTCGTGAGACCACCTTATTGATTCGAAAATCTTCAATAATAATTCAATAATATCATAATAGAAATTTGCTTGGTTATCTTTTCAGATGGAACGGTTAGGCTTCACAGAAAAGGGTGCTTGGCGCGTAACATCTGTCAACTCCGAGTTCAAGCTCTGCCCCTCGTATCCGCCTTTACTCGTGGTGCCTGCGTCCATCGGTGATGAAGATTTGGACTCGGTCGCTAGGTCAGTCTGTGACCTGCCTGTGATACACAGACACTATTACCCTATTCAAGAATTTTCCAGAAAATTACTTCAAAGACCCCATAGAATCTTAGGGTTTTTTTTTCCTGAATTTCTTAACCGGTGTCTGGTCGCATATGGCCATTGGCAATGGGGAGCTCTGGCTTTCTGCCAGTCACTCGTTCCGAAAAGTTCATATTAATGTTCATCCCAGAGCTTAATGATATGACGCATAAACAATCTCATCAAACGCCGTGTGGAATGTAGCTTAGCTTTTTGCGAAGCACCTGCTCTTGAGTTGTTAGGTCTCCTTCGGAGGTGCTCGGGTAGCTGTTAGCAAACCCACCCCTCCTGGCTGAGCCTTTGCTCGCCCACCTGTCCTGGAGAAACTGGAAAGGTCTCAGGGCCACCAGTAAACTCTCAATCATAAAAAAAAAACTTCGCTTTAGGTTAGGTTAGGTGTTAGATAATCAGTGGCCTTGATGACTGCAGTACAGACTTTATTCCCAGTCGGAGTATCATCGTGAAAGTTACATGTTTCGTATATGTGTATGTGTTCGAGACTCATCATGCTGATGAGTCCGTTAATGTATATTCGGATGGGCTGAGCTCGTGATGACGGCGCGGGTGTGGCAGGTGGTAGGACCTCATGTGAGTCCGCACGGGTAGGTACCACCACCCCGTTTATTTCTGCCGTGAAGCAGTAATGCGTTTCGGCTTGAAGAGGCAGCCGTTGTAACTATACTGAGACCTTAGAACTTATATCTCAAGGTGGGTGGCGCATTTACGTTGTAACTGTCTATGGGCTCCAGTAACCACTTAACACCAGGTGGGCTGTGAGCTCGTCTACCCATCCAAACATAAAAAAAACCAATATAGACTTTCAAAATTAAAATAATAGATTCGTGATTAAATGAATGTCGTTTCAAATCTGTATTGTCATTGTTATTGGCTTAGGCGGCTTATAGCGCACGCTAGGGTCATTTCTGAAGAGCCCATTCGACCCCATTCGGATTTTAAATAAATTAAAAACCTTTTAAATTTTAGATAGAGCATTTTTTCAACGACAAACATTTAGAACCACTTAACACCAGGTGGGCTGTGAGCTCGTCCACCCATTTAAGCAATAAAAATAAAAAATAGGTTCCGTGCGATGCGTCGCATCCCGGCCGTGGTGTGGCGGCACGCGGGCACGGGCGCGGTGATCGCGCGCTCGTCGCAGCCCGAGGTGGGCTGGCTGGGCTGGCGCTCGGCGGAGGACGAGCGGCTGCTGGCGGCCTTCGTGTCCTCGTGCGCGGCCGACCGCGGCGCCACCAAGCTCAACAACCTGCTCATCGTCGACGCCAGGTCCTACGCCTCCGCCGTCACCAACAGGTACAGCTTGCAGGGTGGAACCGACATCAATACAGTTCAAACGTCTGTAGAGTAGTTTTCTTGTCAATTGCTTCTTATAACCACTTAAACCTAAGAGAACCTTAATCTATCCTTGTGAATGATATAAGCAAGATTCACTTGATGTCGAGACTCATTTTAATATCGAAATGCTTAATTTTTATCATTAAAGATTCTCAGTGACTTTATGGATAAACGTTGCCCTGATGGTGCTGCATAAAACAATATTCGATATCTCTATATCCAAATTGTTTCTCTATTTAGTCACCTCAATTCTCATTCTTCTTTCTCTTCTTCTCACTCTTCACCCGACAACTGGCGACATCTAGTTTCGACGGTTGAAAACGGAATTTATAAAAGAAAGCAATGCCCTGTATTTTCGCTAATCTGTATACGGAAGTGATTGATATATTCTTCGTCGGTCAATGTTTTCTTTCTCTTTCTACTTGACAATTAAATTGTTTAAATTGCTTGCTGTAAAATTTCTTATCATTTCAAATATTTTGAATACATACACCATTTTAGGGTTTTCATAGAAAATAATGAACTCAGTTCAGTTCAGTACTGTTAGAGAACAGAACCCTTAGATTATACCGGCACCGCATCGAAACTTCGCGAGTGCCTCATGTGAGACGTTTGAACTCCGCAGGGCGCGCGGCGGCGGCTGCGAGTGCGCCCAGTACTACCCGCTGGCGGACATACAGTTCATGTGCCTGCCCAACATTCACCACGTGCGGAGGAGTTTCCAACAGCTTCGTGCGCTGGCCGCCGAGCCCGCGGACCCGGCCAAGTACGTAGCGAAATGTTAAAACCCGTCTTCGTTTCAGGACAGTACTTTACATTCAAACGCGGATATCACGTGGGTGTACCGGTGGGAGAGAAAACAAGGTTCACTTGAAAACAGTTTTTCAGGAAACGAATACAAAATTTAATTCGTAATAAAATTGGGTTTTAAATTTTGTGTATTCACGACATCTAGCGGCTAAGGATTGACACTGGGTGACGTGACGTTGTTGTTTGTACACCAAGGCCAGAGGGACTATTACCAAATTTTTGCAAGATAATAAATAATAATAAAATCATAGAGTTAATTTGTTGAGTTCATAAGAGTAAGGTCAAATTTCACGAACCACCAATCTAAAGCGATAACAACGTTACTCGCGTCTCGCGAGGTCGCGGAAGCGTTGACCTCAACTGATTTCATTACATTGTGGCTTATGCAAAAATAAATTTTGGGGATGCTTAACGACGGAAGGAAAATACGACGAAAAGAATCTTCCACCGAGCGGGTGATATTGCTCGGTAGACCGACGGTCCGAATGTTGTTGTTCGGAACTTGTATAATAATATATGCGCTTTATCTTTGAAAATGTCGTAAGCGAGATTCAGGCATCTGTCAATTATCTTGCGTTGTATGATGGCTACCCGTCACAAAATAAAGGAATTTAACCCTCTTATCGTGGCTACCGCTAACTACATATTATCCGACCCAGGGGACCTGGCGAAGTAAAGCTGCCGTGACCCGAAACATGTCTTGTCGGATCCCCCGGATCTACTCTCGGGGCTTTTAAGCTCTTCAAGCACCGGTCACCGTTGTCGACGAAGAGTTCGACATGTGAATTAGCCCATAGACACAACCCACTGAGTTTCTCTACGGCTCTTCTGAGTGGGTTGCAATTCCGATCCTGTGGTAGATTCTGCGAAGCACAGCTCTTGCTAGGGCTAGTGTTAGCAATTCTCTCCGTTTGAGCCGTTGAGCTCAGTCCACGTGGTTATTAGAGCCCATAGACATTTACAAATTTTTGTAAATGCGTCACCTACCTTGAGATATAAGTTCTAAGGTCTCAAGTATAGTTACAACGGCTGCCCCACCCTTCAAACCGAAACGCGTTACTGCTTCACGGCAGAAATAGGCAGGGTGGTGGTACCTACCCGTGCAGACTCACAAGAGGTCCTACCCCCGGTAAAAACCTGCTCGTGTCTGCAGCTGGCACAGCGGCGTGGAGCGCACGCTGTGGCTGCAGTACCTGGCGGGGCTGGGGCGCGCGGCGGCGGGCGTGTGCCGCGCGGTGGCGGCGGGCCGGCCCGTGCTGGTGCACTGCTCGGACGGCTGGGACCGCACGCCGCAGATCGTCGCCACCGCGCAGATCATGCTGGACCCCTTCTACCGCACCATCGACGGCTTCCGGGTAACACTCTACATCATTACAGGCTGTGCGTGACTAGAGTGACTAGGCTCACGAGGTCACCATCGATAACGTGTAGGTCCCAGTTTGTAGGATTGACTTTAACTTCGATTTCTTCTGATGGCAGGGTTGCGAGAACAAAATAATGATAATTATCTTTAATAATATCTCGCTTTTTATAGTACTGTACCAAACTAAAGAAGTCAAAATGTCTCTATCTCCCTGAGGTTTCAATTAAGTGTTTACTAGTATTTACATTTTTTTAAGTAAATTGCTTAAAATTGACCTATTGATAAATTATTTAAAAAGTTCTTTCTTTCTTTCTTTATTCTTTATTGTACATACAGTTAATAAAATACAATAATTGCGAAAACTTATAAAATTGCGAGCTTAACTCAACAATTGAGTTATTTACTAGCTAACCGTTCTTAAAGAGCTTTACATAAGTGAGTAGAAGAGTAAAGTTATCTTTAGTTAATCAAGTTTATTTTAATTAGTGAAACCAAAATCAAATAGAGATAAAATATTCTTTATTATTAGTTCGAGGGCGTCTATTAATTACATTAAGCATATTTTGGAATTTTCGACCCCCCTCCCCTTAAGTGTGATGTTCGACCCCTCTTATGATCATGGTGGTTGAGTTTAACTTAGCGACACTGACATGGTGAGCCAGGTTCTGGTGGAGCGCGAGTGGCTGGACTTCGGGCACAAGTTCTCTGAGCGCTGCGGCCACCAGTTCGGACCCGAGGACCCCAACGAGCGCTCCCCGGTGTTCCTGCAGTGGCTCGACCTCGTGCACCAGCTGCAGCGGCAGTTCCCCTGCAGCTTCCAGTTCAACGAAGCCTTCCTGGTGAGCGTGCCCTTTCATAACGACTCAACAGTTACGATTTAACGTTCACTCAGCAGCCTATTCTGTTCAGTTTTAAACCGTTTTTTTTATCTATTCGCTGGTATACTATGAGGTTATACCAGCTACGCCTTCACGGGTAGGTGAGCTTACGGGCTCAACCTGAGAGAATTTGCCAACACTAATCCTAGAAAGAGCAGTGCCTCGCAGAATCTATCATTGGATCAGAATTGCGACCCACTCAGAATATCTAGCGCGAAACTCAGTGGGATGTATTCGTGGGTTAGTTCATTGATTGAACTCTTCATAGTAATCGACAAGGAAAATAAGAAAATGTAAACCGTATTTTGTCTCTTGTGGCCTCATTATTAGTGACCACGCTTACTTTGAAACGATTTACAAAGTGAACTTTTTTTATTGCCCTTGTAGGCAGACGAGCATATGGCCCACCTGAGTGGTTACCGTCGCCCATGGACTTCAGTAATGCCAGCGGCAGAGCCAAGCCACTGTCTATCGTTAAGGATACTACTTACTGCTATTACTAAGGAAACATACTTGACCCTTGAGCTGACAGTACATTGAGTGGTGCGTTCCCCGGACAGATAAAGCTGGCGACGCACGTGCACTCGTGCATGTTCGGCACGTTCCTGTGCGCCAGCGCGCGGGAGCGGCGCGCGGCGGGGCGGGGCGCGGCGTGCGTGTGGAGCCTGCTGCGCGCGCCCGCCTACTGCAACCCGCTGTACGCGCCCGCGCCGCGCCCCGACCTGTGGCCCGACTACACCGTGCGCTCGCTGCGCCTGTGGGAGGGCGTGTTCGGCGCGCCCGCCCCGCCGCCCCCCGCGCCGCCCGCCGCGCCCCATGGTGACCACACCGCATCACTACACTATAAACGTACAGAGACATTTTTGAAGTGAAACTTATTTAGAATAGCTATGATTTCAAACTCAATGAATCGAAAAAATACGTCCATAGTGTTTTTGTAATACAGCGCCATCTATGAGATTTTTAATACTAACGTGTGTATGAAAACCTCTTGTAGTGAATTTTAATTTAGGTTTATACGTGAAGTTAAAATATCAATTCACAGAGGGCGCTACCTCATACTATAAAAGATGATCTACAATTATTTACTAATGACAAAATTTTACATGTACTTAGACATTTAAGATAATTGTATTTTAATTTTTGAAGGTTTCACTTCTACCACGTAGGAATTGCACACATGTATTTTTTTTTTGTAAAGGGATTTTATGACCTGGTAACTAAGGCCTTTAGGTCAAGTCTTATTCTAATTTTAATGAAACTTTTTTATTTGAAAAATGATATTATGAATTGATTAATATGAAACGTGTCATGAAATGAGATGAGATGAGATGATATGGGATGAAATATAATCTCAGTAAACGGTTAAAATTACAAAAAAAAAGTATTTAGAGTAAACAATTAGTAAAAAATATATACATACATAAAAAAGCTGACAAACGTTTTGAGTATTTAATTTAATCCTCCTGTGCCAACACTATCAGAATAGGTAACAGTTTTGCTCGCTCTTTAGAAGCTTTGTCTCTGTCCGTTTATTTGCTCATGTGCCACTACAGTTCCGACCTTTGCCAAAATATATAGAGAAGTAACCCGCAGCCGTGTGTTTGTGCAGTGGTGCCGGCCACCATGACGAAGACCCGCTCGTGCGACGACCTGCTGGGCGAGTGCGAGAAGCGGACGGCGCAGCGCCGCTGCAGCGACCCCAGCCTGGCGCCCGACCTCATGTGAGACCCGCCGCTGTGTATTGTCCAGCGAGACCGCACCCCCGTACCGCCCTCCGCACCCCACCTCTCCCCGCACCCGCCACCTTCCCCGCAACACCCTCTCGCACCTGCCCCCGCACACGCCACCTCTCCCGCATCACCCTCTCGCACCTCCCCCCGCACCGCCCCCCGCGCAGACCTGCCTCATCTACCGATGACGGTCACCACTCACCGTTAGGTGGCCTCTGGGCTAGTCTGCAGCAGAGTAACAATTCCTTAACTATCGTATTTAACATTTCTGTTACTTGACTACTAGTGTTCAGTCGAAATTCGGCCATAAACACTGATGCCTCAAGATTTAGATTCATAATATACAGGGTGCTCCACAGAGGGGAAAGTTTTTTTTTTAAATCACCAAATATCGCTGGTATTTTACTAAAAATAATAGTAAAAGTTTGACAAACACTGCTGCTGTGTCTCTGCTGTTATGTCTCTGCTCTTGATTTATTTCTTCAGAATATAAAAAGCCTCGTTGTAGGTAGATTGCTTTAATGTTTTATTGATGTCGGATTATTTATCGACAGGAAACTATCTCGGGTCGTCAAAGAGAACAGCGCCCTGACCGACAGCTGTGTGGAGAGACTGGCTGACCTGGACGACGCCGCCCAGCAGCACGACCAGGTAGGAGCGGCTGTACTCTACGGGAGGGTCGGGGGGGGGGGAGCGATTAGGACAGCATTTTATTGTCAAAGATACCATTGTCTTATTGACTGTCCTGCCTTTCGGACCGACATCCGTAACCAGAAGCGTCGCCGTGCCAGATGTTGGTCCCTGTCCGATGCAATAAATGCCCGATACATCATACTTACGTGGCAGTAGTCATAATAGAATGCAAGATACTTGAGACGTCGGAATTTCTCTAACGAAGTTTTAAGATAAGCTAGCATGTGTACAAGCTCCGAACAACAACATTAGGACCGCCGGTCCACCGAGCAATGTCACCCGCTCGGTGGAAGATTTTATCTTTGCTCTTGCCACTAAACATATTAGTGTCCCCTAAATTTATCTGTTAATCGTGGGTATCCGTCGAGCAGGTGGACGGCGCGCCAGACGAAGAGCCGGCGCGGGGGAGTGGCGCCGGGCGAGGGGACGGCGCCGGGCTCGCGGTCGGCACGGTAACGTCACTTAGTACAATCCAGCCCAATGTTCATCTGTGCTACGGGTGGGAGGTGGGAGGTACCACCCCCTGCTTATTTCTGCCGCAAAGCAGTCATGCGTTCCGGTTTGAAGGGTGGGACAACCGTTATAGTCGTTATGGCTGATACAGATGAAAGCTCGATCTCAAGACTTAAGGTGGGCGCTCATGGTACAATCACCAAGACTTCTGCTAACTCCTCCGCACCAGATAAGTGGTGAGCTTGTTCACTCAAATACGCAATCATCATACGTAGCGTCACACAGCTGTCAAAATGTATAGCGAGACAACAAGCTTACAAATGTGTTGCGAAGGACGGATGAGGGGGAGCATCGCGGGGGGGCGCGTGGGGGGGGGGCGCACGCGCAGGCGCATGCTCGTAAGTTGACGGAGGTGGTGGTGCAGGTGGCGGCGTGCGCGGGCGCGGAGGCGGAGGCGGAGGCGGCGGCGGGCTCCCCCGAGGAGGCGCCGGTGTTCCTGTGCGACAACTACAGCGACGTGCTGGCGCTCGGAGACGTACGTCACACACACATTGCTATACTTTTTATATATTACTTCGAAACAGACGGACGATGATCTGTGCGAGCGTGTCCAAAGGGTACACTTTTTTTTTATTGCCTTTGTAGGCAGACGAGCCTACGGCCCACCTGATGGTAAGTGGTCACCGTCGCTCATGGACGTCAGCAACGTCAGGGGCAGAGCCAAGCCGCTGCCTACCATTAGACACACTTGAATACAAAACACTAGCTCGTCGCTGACCATAAATGAACGCGCATTGAAAAATCCGAAAATTTCTAGTTTTCATTTTAACACAAAACCACTGATAATATATCCTCCATGCTGACACACCGGAATATGTTTTTATTGCTCTTTAATAGTGGCATCACATAAATTGATGTATAAAAAAAATTGTCCCGTAGGAATAATAATTATTTTCAGAATGGAAAATACTCTACGTCTTGTTCTGTGCAGTTTTCATGTGACCAGTAGTATGGTTAAAACTTGAAGGCGTAACAAAAAGCACACTTTCTCATACAGTGTCAGTGTTTTTTTTATTTTTTATTGCTTAGATGGGTGGACGAGCTCACAGCCCACCTGGTGTTAAGTGGTTACTGGAGCCCATAAACATTTATAACGTAAATACGCCACCCACCTTGAGATATAAGTTCTAAGATCTCAGTATAGTTACAACGGCTGCCCCACCCTTCAAACCGAAACGCATTATTGCTTCACGACAGAAATAGGCAGGGCGGTGGTACCTACCCGTGCGGACTCATAAGAGGTCCTACCACCAGTAATGGCGACTTGTTATGATTAATTAGAATAAATAAGTGGCTCACCCCGCCCCCGCCCCCGTCCCCAGGCGAGCCGCGAGGGGGGCCGCACTCGCCACATCAGCATCACGTGGCGCTCCGTGTCCGAGTCCAGCACGCACTCCTCCAGCCCCACCGACACCGCGCCCTCTGCCGCGCTACCGGCTGACCTCAACGTCGACCTCAATGCAGACCTCAATGTCGACCTCAATGCAGACATCAACAGCGATCTCAATGTAGACCTCAACGCTGATGTCGATCCTGCTCACAATGTACAGGAAGTCACCGCCAAATTTCTCGAAGTCGAACTTAACGGTAGGTGTTTAGGGACATCTAAATATTTGCCTCGGAAGAAAACTCGTGAATGTTCGCATTAAGAATAATAATTACCTATTTACAGCAGGCGCGCGAGTTCATGTCCATCCTAAGGAATGCGGTAGTGCTGTGACCTAGTTAATTACGGTAATGTCGATAATAATAACTGCCGATTTAGTCAACAGCTGTCAATTTGGTTTGATGTAACTTAAGGTAATTTTACAAATTATGAAATAAAGATAAGTAATTACTTATTTATTTGTAGTAGAGAAAAATGTTTTTTTATTCCAAATCAATCACTTCTCAAATGAAAAGCAACTGACAGATCAGAGTCGAAATCAGTACATTTTTTCAGTAGGTTTTTTTCTACCTGAACTTGTTGGAAGCGGAGTAGTCATGGTTTATTCATAATGAAATAACACAATAGCGTTAGTGTAAATTTTCGATATCGATAAGCGCGCGTCACAATCGTCAAGGACAACACTCAACGTCAGATAAATGCGGGGAGCAGACGAAGGCGGGGCGAGCTGTCCCTCGCGCGTCGCCTCTGGCCCCGATGGACATGAACTCGCGCACATACTGTAGTTATTAGTATTTCTATGGAAAGTAGCAGTCGTCGAATTAGATTTGAGCTTTAGTGTAACGCACAGAAGGATCTCCATAAACCTAACCCAGTGCTCGTGCAGGCGGCGCGGCGTGGAGCAGCGGCAGCTCGTCCAGCTCGTGCGAGGGGGAGAGGCGCGGCGCCTCGCAGGCCACGCTGTGTCCCCGCCCGCGCCGGCCCCCCACCGGTACACTAGCCTATATATAAGCCACTCTACACATTTTCATATTGACTCTGTCTTAAATGCTAAAACATCCACTTCCATAAAGCGGCACGACACGAGAACCCTCTCATCGTGGCCGCCGGTAACTACATTCCCGATCCTGCGGACAGAATGGAAAGCAGTCGACGTCGCCCAAAACACGTCATCTCGGATCCTCCTGATCCACTAACGGTGCTTTTAGGTACTTCAAGCACCGGTCACCGTTCTCGTCGAACCCGTTGCTTGCGACGAAGGGCTCGACGAGTAAATCAACTCTCAGACACAGCCCACTGAGTTTCTCGCCGGATCTTCTCAGTGGGTCGCGTTTCCGATCCGGTGGTAGATTCTGCGAAGCACGGCTCTTGCTAGGGTTCGTGTTAGCAACGTCATCAGGTTTGAGTACCGTGAGCTCACCTACTAAAGTTAAAGTTACGCTGACATAGCCCCTAGGGCTATCAGCTTAGGTAGGAAAAAAAAAAAAGCTAAAACATATATCTAATCAGACTTTTTTTTTATTGCTTAGATTGGTGGACGAGTTCACAGCCCACCTGGTGTGAAGTGGTTACTGGAGCCCATAGACATCTATGACGTAAATGCACCACCCGCCTTTAGATGTAAGTTCTAAGTGCTGGATTGATCAAGTGAAAAACTTTACTAAAACCCCACCTAACGAGTGCGTGCGCTATGCCTCAGCTCGCAAATTATGGAGAACAACTGTCAAAGCTAAAATAATCATGATCACAGTTGGTGGTAGGACCTCCTGTGAGTCCGCGCGGGTAGGTACCACCACCCTGCCTATTTCTGCCGTGAAGCAGTAATGCGTTTCGGTTTGAGGGGTGAGTCAGCCGTTGTAACTATACTGAGACCATAGAACTTAAGGTGGGTGGCGCATTTACGTCGTAGATGTCTATGGGCTCCAGTAACCACTTAACACCAGGTGGGCTGTGAGCTCGTCCACCCATCTAAGCAATAAAAAACATTTTAAAAAAATTGTTCTTCCAAGGGTAACCGGCTATGATGAAACAAAGTTGATGACCCTATTTAATGTTCCTGTTAATTTTGTAATTCGTAATTATTTTCTGTTGTTAATTAGATTGTTCAGGCGCGTCGACGTCCTGGTGGGACGCGGCGGAGCCCCCGGACGGGCTGCCGCTCGCGCTCGACCCGCTGCAGGAGCGGCTGCACCAGATCATTACACATCAAAAGGTACGACATCAACGACTTATTATATCCTAAAAGAAATTATAAAAAAACTAGCTGACCCGGCAGACTTCGTAGTGCCTCAATCGATAAATAAAAGACCTAAACTTTTGTATAAAATAAACTTAAACAAACAAAAGGAATCCGTCCGACGGGGGACACATCAAAGGAAAAACAAAATTGATATTTTTATTTAACTCTGAGTATTTTCATATTTATCTAGCTTTTAAACCTTCTCTGGACTTCCACAAATAATTCAAGACCAAAATTGGGCAAATCGGTCCAGCCGTTCTCGAGTTTTAGCGAGACGCTTCCTATTCGTACACTCTTGGAAGAGTGGTCGTGGTCATGTATCAGTCGGATCCTGCGATACCGATGCTCTCGCGATGCGACGCCATGTGGCATGGTGTTTCGCAGAGTGAGAGCAATCATTTATGTTGGAGTGAGTCGATTTTATGAGGTCGGTGCATCGTTTGGAGATCGTCGGCGAGATCTTTTGCCCTCGACTTTCCCTTGCACCACCAACCGCTCAATGGAGTCTTCATTACGAGTGATGTGCCCGAAGAACTTGAGGATTCGTATTTGGACTGTTGACGATAGTCTCTTCTTGATTTTGAGCTCTTTCAGGATCGAAACGTTGGTACGGTGCACGGTCCACGGAATTCTGAGGAGACGTATATATGTACTCTAAATACTATATAAATTCTATTATAAATTGAGTTTTTGATTGAAACGATACCGTCACGCTAAGCAAGATGCTGGCACTCCAGCCTGCAGCCAACTCACAAGTGATGTTTCCTCGTTCAGAAAGTGGTTGAGGACTTGACGGGGCAGCTCCGCGAGTGTCGCGAGGCGCTGCGCCGCGCCTCCCCGCCGCCCGCGACCCCGGCGCCGCGCCCCCCGCCGCCCGCCGCGCCGCCGGTACGTACTCCCCCCGCCCCGCCCCCGCCCCCGCCCCGCGGTGCACAGCCGAGGCTGACGGTTTGCTTTGTGTGAGCAGTCGTCGAGCAGCAGCCGCAGCAGCCGGAGCAGCGGCAGCGGGTCGGCGTCCGAGGTGGAGGTGGGCGAAGAGGCGCGTGGCGTCACGTGGCTGCCCGACAGTGCGGCGCCGCGCTGCCAGCACTGCCATCACCACTTTTGGCTCGCCAGGAGGCGCCACCACTGCAGGTAACTGTCGAGGCATGTGGAGAATATTAAGCAGTAGGAAGCGGCTTGGCCCTACCCCTGGCAATTACTGAAGTCCATGGGCGACCGTATGCTCGTCTGCCTACAAGGGCAATAAAAAAAACATTACTGCAGAAGTATCACAAACACATACAGTAGGCGCGCGAGTTCATGTCCATCCTGAGGAATGCGGTAGTGCTGTGGCCTAGTTAATTATGGTAATGTCGATAATAACTACCGATTTAGTCAACAGATGGACATGAACTCGCGCGCATACTATAGTTTTGGATGGTAGTCCAGTCATTATAGTAAGTTTACCTCGGAATTCGAGATACCCAGCTGCAAGTCTATAAATACTTGTATATTGACACCCTAAAAGTTGTCTCAAAACCTACATTCGTAGGGTCTACGCAACTATTCAATTTCAAGGTCAAAGGCCACAAAAATGTTTTTTTTTTTTGTAAATATCTCATTTCTTATGAGTTTTTAGCTATTTGTATTTATTAACAATAACTGCTTTATACATAAATGATAGACAATAACCATATTCGATGCGCAAAAAATATATATTTCTAGGTCTATTAAAATCATTTCAATCCTACAGCCAGATTCGTTAAAAATATATATTTTCAGGTATTTCAACTTTAAATTAGTCTACTGTAAAGTTCACGCATTGTCGCTTAGTCACGTTTGCCTTTCAAGCGTCGAATTATAATTATATTCCCATTTACACTAATGACATGACCATATATATGTAGGTTTTGAGACAACTTTTAGGGTGTCAATATACAAATACATATTTACAGACTTACAGCTGGGTATCTCGAATTCCGAGATTCTTACCTAATTTAAGCTTAAACGACTGGACTATGGTTCATAAAGTACACACAATATTTGCCAGTCGTCTCTAGTGGAACACATTCTGACCAGTACAACTATAAAGTTGTCTCGCAGACGGTGCGGTGGGATATTCTGCGGGTCGTGTGCCGAGCTGAGCCCGTGGGGGTCGCGGGGGCACGTGCGCATGTGCGCCCCCTGCCGCGCCCGGTGACCGCCCCGCCCCCGCCCCGCCGCCCGCAGCCCCGCGCGCCCCCTCGCGACGCCCGCACTGCTATACGAACGAAATACCTCATTATTATTATTATGAATAATTCATAAATCAAATCGTACTGAGGACTTACAATGTGCTGCGTTAGAAAACGATGAAGACACTCACAGTAATATGAANGTGCGCATGTGCGCCCCCTGCCGCGCCCGGTGACCGCCCCGCCCCCGCCCCGCCGCCCGCAGCCCCGCGCGCCCCCTCGCGACGCCCGCACTGCTATACGAACGAAATACCTCATTATTATTATTATGAATAATTCATAAATCAAATCGTACTGAGGACTTACAATGTGCTGCGTTAGAAAACGATGAAGACACTCACAATAATATGAAGACCTCATTTGACTCAAACTTTTCTAACGGACATTCTAAGTCCGCGACACGAGAGGCGACCACGCGGGTGCCTAGCGAACAACTCGTGTGTGTTCTAACGTCAATCTCAACCGGACGGTGACCGTCAAGTGGTCATCGCTACCATTGAGACGTGTTAAAACACGAAAGCGTGTTTGTATCCACCGGTCCCCCCCGCGGGGTCGCCGCCGGGGATGATGACAGGTAAAACATAAGAACCTCAAGTGTGGTTAAACTGCAGCTCTGACCCCACGCGCCCAACGAACTGCACTTGACCTTATGAATTATCATAACAATTGTTTAATTTTATGAAGGCGAGGCGCGTCCGTTGTCGATGTCCGCGGACCGCACCGCGCCGGGGGACGCGAAGCATTTATCGTTTAAGAAATATTCAAGGCCTTGTTTTAAAGCGAGAGTTTAAATTAGGGAATCGTTTCCGCAGCCGCCCTCACCGCCAGAGCGCTTATGGACTTCAGAACTTGCAACTATACTGAGACCTTAGAACTCATCTCAAAGTGGGTGGCGCATTTACGTCGTAAATGTCTAAGGGCTCCGGTAACCACTTAACACCAGGTGGGCTGCGAACTCGTCCACCCAACTACGCAAAAAATAAAAAAATAAAAAAATATCGATACCAAAATTTTTGGTCATACACATCACTTATCGTAACGAATTCAAGAAGAAGCTATAAAGCGCTCGGGTGAGCGCGGCCGCGGCGAGACAAGGACAAATGATTTTAGTAAATGTACGCGAAGGCTGAATTAATTAAATTATAATTAATAAATATATATATCTTATATATAAAAATATAAAGGAAATTCGTGTTACCTAATATGAAGTAATTTAAATGGCACTCGTTATTAAGATATATATATATAAAAGAAATGTTTTAATTGTAAAATGTTTAATGTTTTATTGATCGCGAGTGCCCGCGCGGCACGGCCCGCCCACACTTACAGTAACCGTATTTATAATAATGATTTTAACGAACTCTATGGTCAAACGAAGGTCCCTACGCGTCGGGGCCAAAGAATACAAACTGACATTTTGTATAATAAAACTTTTCTCTTCGTTTTTTTTTTTTTGTAATATAAAGTTTTTAATTATTATTTTTGTTTCTATTAAACTAGTTTTGTACAGTTGTTTTGTTTCACTCCACGTCGGGCGACACTCGAGACAAGGACGGAGGTATGCGCGCGGCAACGTGCGCGAGCGAGATATCGATAGCGCGTCCATTTTTTTAAATTCGATTGTCGTGTCATAGACTAATTAACGCACGCGACACGTTTTCGATAATAATATTATAAATGTTTAAAATGACTGATGTGTGTATGTAGTGACTTCATTACAAAGAAAACTCGTTAATTTATTATTAATATTTCAATTGCTGAGAATTTTAATAATTTTTTTCTTACAATACATTTTTATTAGTTGTCATTAAGCCATTCGGTATACAACTATAGACTAATGTGTGCGAAATAAACGGTCTGAACGACTTTTCTTTAATTCATACAATGTATTTACGTTTAATTTGTGATAATAAAAATAATTATTTTATGTATAATATATTAAGAGTTTAAAACGTCGTTGTTTAGAAGTCAAATTTTACGATGATTGTAATTGGTGAAGCTCCTCCCGCAGTTATATCCACTTCGGATGTTTCAAATCATATTGCGTACCTATATTTTATAAATCTGAACTACAATACGCAACGTAGCGCTTCTATGCATTATGTGCTCTGTGTTTGTTGTCGACGGTCGGGCGACATGCTGGCCGCCAATGTCACATACTATGCGAAACCGGGGTTCGAGACTGGCCGTGTTTGCTTTTAGACTCTCTGTAACTCACGTGCTCACGAGCGCTCACGGGTGCTCACGAGTGCTTATGGTCAAACTGGTCTACGTCACGCGTCAATATAAGTCGATACGTGAGCGATATTTCTAATCGCAAACACTTGCCTTCGTCTCAGTATGCTTACAACAAAACGTGGGGCCGTAAATCGGTAACGCGCCAATCGCTTTTAAGATGTTATAAACCAACGAACTGTTTGTCAGACGGATATTGTTATGTGTATATTTTATACGTTGGAGCGCCGCGACCGAGCGAGTCCGGGCGACCAACCGATGACACGATGTGAAATAAAGCATATTTAGTTTTAACTTGCATTATGTTTCATTTTGATTCCCACCGACGTTTCTGCTGGACTTGGCACCGGCTCGATCCTGTTCTACACCTACACGTAAGACCTTCGATCAACAATAGTAACTAGATAAAGGGACACGTACAAAATTAAAGCAAAAGCTGTCCGCGTGAATATACACATAAATAGCTACATTCATTTACTAACAAACGGACAAAAAGTTTTGAAACACTTTTAAGTTCAAACTAATTACAACTACGGCACCTACTAATAAAGTCACAAATCTCCAAAACATTATCTAATACTTACGATCATTCGTCGCATAAAATTAGCAAAGCAATAAATTACTCCTGTCACTTACCAATAAAAAGACATTTATTATGTTAAAGAACTTTTAATGTTAAATCAATCTTAAACTGCAACAAATAAAGTAACTTTTCCCTTAATTGCTCTGAGAACTAACATCGTTGTTTTATTTATTTTTGCTTCTTGAAATGCCGATTTCTATTTACTACAGGAGGTAAGGGAGTCGCGTTGAACACTAAAATAATTTATTAATGAAGTAAAGTAAAAGTTTAGTTGTTTACTTTTTATGTTTTGGAAATGTGTGTTTGTTAGTATCTACACATTACTTATTATTTTATTAGCGTTACGTTTTTGTGTAATATATACTTTTATAGTATATTTTTAAGTTTTCGCGACCAGTGCACATAATAAAACAACGTTTAAACGGTTTCAAGCGCGGTATTTTTATTACAATGTTTCGGCCACGTTTCAGTAGCCGTGAGCAAGGAAGGCAAAGATGTCCAGTGTCAATAAGTGGAGATCTTAGCTGGCCTATAAAAGTCATCTCTTGTTTCTCTGGCGACAATCGAGATCCATTCTGCACACGTGATTGCTAGGAAAACTAAAATAAAAATGGAAAGCTAAGTATCTAATGAGAGTCCAACAAACAGACAGAAAAGCAGCATTAACCAATTTTAACCTACTAATTTTGAAGTACTGCTAACAAATTTTTAAAAATTATTACAACACAAATTAACTCCATGCATTTACTGTTCTGTGAAGCAAAAGTTTGTCCATGTGTTGGCCGAGCCTTGGCCAACATTTGTAGCGGTGGTTAAAAATCGGTAAACTTGTTCAAAATTTAATATTATTTATAAGTTTAAAGCTTAAAATATAGTTTATACTTCATGTACTTACCGAAAGTAAGATACTCCGGCCGTTAAATTGCTTTTTCGAGCCTTATTTTTGCAACTTTTGAATACACACTGCGGTATTGTGACGAGTTGACATTGGCTGTGTTTGAACAAAATAAGAGCTCACATTTCAAGTGAGCTGTTATTTGACGAGACGGATTTTCTGCACCGACCCGAAATCTAGTTACTATTGTTGATCGAAGCGTAAGACCCCCTAAGTATCAGCGTGGAGGGCATCATGCAGTAGCTAACCAACTTCAAGTAGAGTACGCGTCACTTAAAAAGAACGCTGGCGGTCAAGCTGCGCACTATGCTATTTATCGATGTATTTGGTGGAATGAGGTGCGGCGCGGGGCAGGCGGGTCACCTGCCGCATGCTTGTCGGTGTGCTATTGGTTCGTCAGTCGACCTTTGCTTTCCGCGCTGGGTTCATGTTACGTTCGTTCTCAAAATACTATCGCGCACATAAGTTTTAATTACAAAATGGTTTTACATAGAAAAGTGAAAAAAATGATTTATGACGTATATTGTTTTATGAAGAAAGAGGCTGATAATAATGCAATTGATAATTTGAAATAATGCATGAAACGGACCGCAGTACCAACAAAATGTTCCGAGTCTAATTTAATTTTTAGGGTTCCGTACCTCAACAGGAAAAAAATGGAACCCTTTGATCACTTTGTTGTCCGTCCGTCCGTCCGTCTGTCTGTCTGTCTATTCGTATTCAGATTAAACATTATACGCAGAAATTAAACATGTTTTTAATTCTACTTCATAAAATTCTATTTAATATATTATTTTTAATGTACCTACCATGTACGATCTTACCACCGTACAATTTTATTATAGTTAAGGAATGCCGACCAGTACCAGAACGTCATGCTTACTTGCGACGCGATCCACTTTTTGCCGCGTGACAACAAATAATATAATATGAATTTAATTACAGTCAAGAGAGTGCATCACTAGCAATCGTACAATTCACATCAAGAGAAATTATCATCTTTATAAGTTTACCTAAACTTTAACTTTGTATCTTTAACTTTAACTTTCATAAACTACTTTAACTTCAAACTTATGATATCTTTCTGCGCTCTCCTGTAACATGTAACTGCATAAAGCTACAAGAGTACAGAACTACTAAACTGTACATACCTATAACCAATATACGAAGCCGCGAGCGAAAGATTACTTCAAAAATAAAACAAAAGTACTTAGTATTTTCGTGCGCGAGTGTATCCATGCGCAAACACACCCCCTCCACTTTCTTCCAGCGTTCTTTTTACGTGACGCGCGCTCTAACAGCCGTCAGGACATCAACTTCTCTTTACACAGATACAGTTAAATAACGTTGCTTGGTTAAGTGCGAGTTATGCAAATGTCGATAATTTATTTATGAGAGGTCTTTTATAATAGAGCACACAACCTCGACTATTTCAAATCACGGAAAGTTTCGTTTACTTATACCAAAAAAACGATTATAAATACTAAGTTCTTAATTGCGTATGACAATATCATAAGAGCCCTGAGGTTTTTAAATAAAATAAATACGATATGAATTCCCATCGATTCCAGAATTCCACTGTTAGAGACACTTAAATAATGCTAGTTCTTTATGCAGAAGCACGAATCTCAAAACTTAGTTTCAGTTTTCAAACCGCAAGTAATAAAATAAAACTTCATTCATTATTAAAAGAAATATAATTATTCGCTTTAGTCTCATGAAGCACATATATTACAAATAAATATTTACACTAGGTATAAAAGTTTCACAAAACCTATAGTAGGTAACATCGTAGGGCGTGACAGTAGCTTTAAGGTTTCCGTGAACACAGCGGGGGAGAGGAGGGTTGGGGGTCGCGGATATTTCCAGGTAGGTTTCACACGGCAATTCCAACTTATAAGAACATTCCTTTGCTAAATAATTGTAATTTTAGTGAAATGTAATATTTATTACATTTCGATCTAAAGAATATGACTTCATGAATCTCTAGTCTACGAGTTAAGAATATGGTTCTAGGTACGGCTATAGCTTTCATAATAAAAAATTATGTATGACTAAGACAAAAAAACCTGGTTGGGAATACGGTAGATATAAGATATTTTATTGAAGTGAAACTTCTTTAGGCGCGTTGAGAGTTAAATTTAACTCGCGACTGATTCGTTACGGCTACAGAGAAAAGATACAATTTAGGGTGAGCGAGAGTGAGAAAATAGTCTATTTTCTCCTTTTCTTTCGCGAGACGTCGCGAACCACTCGATTGTAGAGAGAGGAAAGGCAAAGCAAGCTAGGTCGTTATTCAGTTTAGCGACATATATTGGTTTTCATATAAACTACTACATTGCAAGATATTAGGGTCCGTTCACACAGGACGGCTCTGATATCATCGTCCCGCTTTTTTCACACATACCGGATCGTGTACGTTTGGAATTGGCCACCAACTATTCAAAGAGCGCGCAATCGGAATCGGTCGGCATCTCTTATTTATTAAACACGCAGCGCATTCAAGCATTCTTAATTACAAAAAAGTGCACATTCAAAAATAAACTTTATTACAATTACTCAAAACTCTGTTTCCAACGTCATAAAAATCTGCTCTCCTCTCCGAGCCGGTCCGCATGAACGGACCCTTAACAACTTCTTTCTAATCTAATGTTAATTGTCGAGGTACGTTGAAGTTTCACTTCTATCAAGTACACGCGCACCAGTTTTTTTTTAATGGTAGACGGAACAATGTTCACAGGCTTCACACAAATACTATTAAAACACTAGCTTCGCCCATCAACGTCATACTCTCAACCTCCAACGACAAATTTGAACATGTCTTATCTCCTATCTTTAAACTTAACATTATCTATTTTTATTGCTTAGATGGGTGCACGAGCTCACGGCCCACCTGGTGTTAAGTGGTTACTGGAGCCCATAGACAACTACAACGTAAATGCGCCACCCACCTTGAGATATAAGTTCTATGGTCTCAGTATAGTTACAACGGCTACCCCACCCTTCAAACCGAAACGCATTACTGCTTCACGGCAGAAACAGGCAGGGCGGTGGTACCTACCCGTGCGGACTCACAAGAGGTCCTACCACCAGTAAAATTAGATTTTTTAAAAGTAAATTTAAAATATTTCTTCAATACACGCGCATACTACACTTTATTACAATCTCCATTACCACGTTTTATTTGATAAAGACTCCGCACTCTTCAATTCTAACGAACTACACATGTTTTATATTAAATACGCTTTTAATGCTTTTTTCATCTAAGTAGGCCATTATTTGAACTTTAGGGTTTTATTTCGATGATTCATTGAATATTTATTATTTATTTTATAAACATCTAATAACAAAAGTCTCTAACAATCAACAATTTAGACATCAAAAACAAAAACACATTTCCCTACTTACAGCTAAACAAATAAAAATGCATTTAGTTACAGCACAATAATAACAGAATGTATAAAAAGAAAATTTACAATAGAAATTCTGTATGGCGCTTAATGTAAATGGTACATATATTTTTATTTAATAAACAAAATGATATTATTATATAGTATATATTGAGAAGTGAATGGGTATTTTCGTTTAAAAGACATTTCACTATATTTTGTAATCCACACCGTTTTCTATAATATTAGCATCAACAGTTCGATGTTTTTAATTGAACTCCAATTAAGTTTACTCTATTGAAATAGTTGAGGAAGTCTTATTGTTATGATATTTTTTCTCTTTTAAATTTTAAACTTTAAATGTTAAAATAAATAATAAATAATGTTAAACATATTCTCAAATAATTAATATTGTCCAGTTAATGATACATTAGAATTAATTTGATTAGATAGTAACTATGTGTGTGAGTGTGTGTGCGTGCGGTTGTGTGTGTTTGTGTTAGTATATGTGTGTATGTATAAACATGTATATTATTATATATACACAAGGTATTTAGGCATCTGTTCAGTTATTATATTTTTTCTGTGAGCACCTGTTTTGAATTGCAATCCAGATTGTTATATTAAATATTGAAACTTATAATTTCTATGGTTGTTATTTGTTAGGTGCATCAATAAAGAAAAAAACATATTGTCCTGTAATGTTGCTTAAACCTATTAAACCTTAATAGCCTTTCACCTCTCGATATATGTTTTAATAATACTGTTTCTCTTCGGAATGCTTGCTAAATAAAATATATTAATTATTACATTAAAATACACTAAACTTAAATACAACAAGACAGGGATGATGTTTGATGAAGTGTCGCCATTGGATATTTGTATTTACTAAATAAACAATTCATCTAAACTCATTTGTATTTTTTATATTATTTAGGCCATTGATCGGTTGTGGCAATTAAACTTACAGCACACTACAACAAAGTTAAGAACGAATTAAGTACTTCAGATCCAAAAGAGATCGACATTAAGTCGTCAAAAGATTTCTTTACATTGGCAATCCCAGATTTCTTTCAGTTGGCAATACAAAATCTTAAGTACGGGGTTTTAAGTTGAAAGTACTACAAATGCAGGCTATTTCTAAAAACGTCATATAAAAATCTAGTCATTAACGAATCCTAAAGTGATAATTAGAAAATTCTTTTTTTGTACTAATTATATTTTTCCTTGGGACGACACAACCTGATTACTCTTACACCGCGAGTGCCGTAGTGCGGGGGGTGGCGGGGGGTCGCCGGGGGTGGCGGGGCGTTAAGCCCGGGTGGGTGGGCGCGTGGTGACGTCACGCGTGCGGCGCGCCACCAGCCCCGCGACCCTGGCCTGCGCCGCGTCCAGCAGCTCGTACATCTGCGGAGTGAAGGGATCGAAGTTCTGATGCTTGTTTCGGCGTCGATAAATGCCCTCCTTGTTCGCCAGCGCGCACTCCAAGCTTTCCTGGTGGGAGAGAAACAATTGTTAGCAAATTCTATCAGGTTGAGCCCGTGAGCTCATCTACCCGTCGCACCCGTCGTATGAATAGGTGGGGGGGGGGGGAGAAGAGAAACTCCTAGTTAAATGAGTTTTAGATGCGAGGCATAGCATATAAAAATATGACGGATCTTTCTGATTGAACAATATTAAAAGTATTTTAATTCGATGGTGATTAATTAGCTTACTGCTTTAGTACTTGTAGTTTTCAAGGAAAATTAATAAATATAATATGATTACTAATTAAAGTTAATAATTACCGGATACATACGCGAGTTACCTACATCCTATCAACACAAGAAATAAACATTACGATATCGATCTCAAAAACGACGTGTTTGAAACATGCTGTATAGCTGTGATGTATAAGCAATTAAATTTATTATCGATCAAAACAAAATGCAAAATGTGCGCTAGATTTGAAGACACCACATTATGTCCAGACCCGTTCAAAGAACCTCATGAGACGCAAGTGTTCCGCGCGGTGCCCACCTGCGGGACGGTGCGGTTGAGGAAGGCCAGCGCGGCCTGCAGCGGCGGCCCGGGGTCCTCCGCCAGCTGCTCGTAGCGCAGCACCAGCAGCGCGCCGCGGAACCCCGCCAGCCAGGCCCTGTGCAGCGCCTCCCACGACACCACCTCGCGGCGCACGTGCCACCACCACTCTTCAAAGAGTACACATTCAACTACAACACTTCTGCTGTTATAAAAGCAACCGAATTGTTGAGGGTTTGAAGTCGTCATAGCCTAAACACCTCCAGCACCGGTCACCGGCCTACCTACCTCTAATCCTACCTATGCTGATAGCCTTGAGAGTAGAATCTACTACCGGATCGGAAACGCGACCCATTGAGAAGATCCGGCGAGAAACTCAGTGGGCTGTGTCTGTGGGTTAATTTACTCGTCGAGCCCTTCGTCGCAAGCGATGGGATCGACGAGGACGGTGACCGGTGCTTGAGGTACCTAAAAGCACCGTTAATGGATCGGCAGGAGAGGATCTCAAATGACATTAATCATGTCAATTGAAGCCATGAGTGGATGAAAAGGTTAAGTACCATATTTAAGATTTTTGAGTTTTTACATTGACATGCCTATAAACCATATTAGACCTTAAAACTCCAGGTTTAAAGGCTATTTTTAGAAATTGCATGTGACAAAGGAGTTACGTACGAACAAAAAGTACAAGTACCAAAAGTTTGTTGCCCGTTTTCTCAAAATCAACAAATTGTATCATATCCCCTTCATCACCTCATGTCATTCAATCATCAACGTACCGGTTTTTTTGTCGTGCGATATTCGTTTGAATGCCGACTTAGGAGCAGTGCCGATGTGACCCTTGTGAAGTCTGTTAAAATCCGCCTGTTGACATTCAAATATATTGCTAATTTTGTTACGGTACACATAAAGATGCTAGCCCAGAGTAGAGAAGTTAATTCTGGGTAATAACTTATCTTAAAAATGGTATGGAAGAGAAAAAACGAATAGATCAGATAATACTTAAATTATTATGCAGATCCAATTTTTTTTTATTGCTTGGGCGGGTGGACGAGCTTACAGTCCACCTGATGTTAAGTTATTGGAGTCCATAGGCATCTACAACGTAATGACGCCACCTACCTTGAGATATGAGAGCTCTCAGTTTTAACAGTACAACGGCTGCCCCACCCATCAAACCGAAACGCATTACTGCTTCACGGCAGAAATAGGCAGGGTGGTGGTACCTACCCGGGCGGACTCAAGAGGTCCTACCACCGGTAAAATAAATATCAACAATACTAGACGTAACATACGCTTGGGAATAAAATGTTTATTGGTGGATGCATAGCGAAGCTTGTGGCCCTCAGGTTTGCGGTTACCAGGTTAACCTTGGTATATGAGTTCCGGTCATTGGAGTCGCTAAATCATCAGTGGTAAGGAGGAGCGGAAGGCAGCACGTGGAGCTCATACTATCTGTTTCTTCTGGGTGATTTGTGACTTCAATCTATGTCTCAATGTCATGTCTATGGGCTTTGGATCACAATAGAATAAAAAAGGTGGCTAGCAAACACATCCCATAAACTAAAATTTGTTATAGCTAGTGCTTGTGGCAGAAATAGACCGGACATCGGCACCAAGGGTTTAATTGAATTTTTCTATAGACTAAGAATTCTATGAAACAATAACTTTAACTCACTTTTCTAATATTTACATATAACACATAGCACACATTAAGATAAAAATTAAGCTATGAAATGAAAATATATTTGCAAAATAAAATAATTACTTTAAAACATGCCAAAGCATAATGTACGAGTCTTGGTGAGTGCACATGAAACATTCTCAAATGCCTTAAATGCGTACACACTGCGGCACAAACTGGAAACATAAAAAACAACAAAATAAAGCTTTATTTATTAATTTCAGAATTAATTCATTTACAGATGTTTTATTATTTTATGTGAGTTACTTCAACATCATGATCGTCATGATCAGCCTATAGATTCACTGCTGTATACGAGTTGCTTATAGACTGAAGACTGATTTTTAATTGTAGAAATTACAATAATACTCGTATGCATTTTAAAGAATTTAGTGGGTGACCTAAATTTAATATACACAAACCATACCGATTCATTTGAAATAATAAAAAAACCAGAGTATATGGTTCATAAACTATTTATCATATCCAAAAAGTTTAACCACAAGTCTTTGCATAGTCAAGGGACAGTGCTGCTGAGAAACAACTGCAAATCATTTGTTACACTTTCATTATAATTGTAAAGTACCTACATATAGCTTTTTTTCTGTCACGATTATATGATGTTGATTTGTGTAAGTAGTCTTTTTAGCATTTCCCATTATTTATCAATTCATAGAATCAAAAAATTGAGGCGTAACGAAAATATTTAATATTTTTTCCTACACTGATAATTATTGAATAACAAACAAATAAATATGATACTGATGATATCTTTAATAATTAATTGAGAATGAAAACTACATATTTCATCTGTTATTGATTTTGATTATAACATATCGACGCTTGAAAGGCAAAGTGACTAAGCGACAATGCGTGAACTTTACAGTAGATTAATTTAAAGTTGAAATACCTGAAAACAAAATTTATTTTAACGAATCTAGCTGTAGTAGAATCTAGCTAGTAGCTGTAGGATTGAAATGATTTTAATAGACCAAGAAATATATATTTTTTGCGCATTGAATATGGTTATTGGCTATCATTTATGTACAAAGCAGTTATTGTCGCTTAGTCATGTTTGCCTTTCAAGCGTCGATATCTAAGTTTTGCATTAATAAGTCAACTGAAACAGTTGCATATATACATCGTATGTGAAGTAATAAGTAATGTATATTGCATCTTACCAATATCGCATCTCTTGGGTTTCTTATCAGTAATATTGCAGATTTAAACTTGTCAGAATGAGCAGGTGGAGCTTCATGAGTTTTAACTACCAGCACTGAACCATCTGTCACATTCTCAGCTGGGAACCCATGGACTCGAAGTCCATAATCCATGTACACAGAGCCCGTGACTATACCTAAAATAATCACTAATTTCAATAATAACCAAGCCAACAGCATGTGAGTCTAACTTAGAACAGCATATTTTTGACAAAGTGAGTACCTTGTCTTTTTATGTGCCAATGATAAGCCAGTTATGACTGATCTTACCTGTGGCCTGCTGTAGAAGATATCTGAACCATGTATTGCCGCTTCCTGGGTAGGAGGCCAGGGCAACAACGTGCGGTGAAGGCGGCGACTGCCAACGCAACTCATGACACCAGTTAACGCTGGGTATTTGTCGAAAGCCGAAATGGTTCATATAGTTGTTGCCGTAATAGGCACTTTTCGTACCGTGTAGAGGACTCAACATAAACAAGATTATTGAGAAATACAGCATGACGACAGCCGCCGCGAACAAGAATATCGTACGACGAGACATTATAATGTAGCGCATCAGACTTTGATTTTCTTATATTTTTTCATGATATCAATAAACTATAACGATAACATTGCCATGTTTTTAACTTAATTTATTATTTTGTTTTTTTTAACATGGTTTGTTTGCTTTATTAAAAGCACTGTATAGTGAGGGGTAGATCTCAGGGGTATTTAAAACTATGGGTTAGTCACCAATATCGAATTTCGAATTTTAATCTTCCTTTATCACAAACAATTTTCAATTTTAAACAATAATTACATTTAGACGCGGGCGCACGCTATTCACACTCAAAACGGAAGCGCCCGGAACATAGATTATACACTGTTACAAGATTGACATAGATACTAACTATGTATAGCGAGCGGGCATACGGCCGCGAGAGTGACGTACCGGTCGGTTTGCTACATACTCCCCCTCTAGTCCTGGAGGACGCCCTCGCTCCTGGACTAGCATCTCATTACTACTGGGCTGAGGGACAGGCGCAAGACCAACCATACCACCAGCTGCGGGAGAAAGACGTGGAGCTTCAGCACATGGTTCAGCATGCCGTGTCGTCATATGCCCTGGAACTCGAGAATCTGTTTTAACATTATTTGGGGGACGACCACGTTTCTTTTTAGGCATCACCGGCCGCGGAAGAGCATCACTCTGATTCTCACGGTATAGAGTGAGATCGTTCACATGATATTTCCCTAAAACTTCATCAGGTTTGTCAACATGCGCGACGTGGTAAGTAGTAGGGCTGACCTTTTTAACGATGCGATACGGACCATCGCGTTTTGGAACAAACTTAGAAGTAAGGCCNATAACTCCTCAGGATTGGCAAAAACAGTGTGAACACGTAAAACATTTAGAAGACAAATTTTATGAACGTGATGGCTGCATGGATAATATTACGGATAAATTCATAATTGAACTAGGAAACGACAGCAGCACAGATTCGGATACGTCAGACGACGCTTATGCAAGTGACAGTCTGGAATCGTTTCTTTCGACCATAATTACTGTCAGTAAAAATGAAATAAATAAATAATTTAAAATTTAAATTGTGTCATAATTTACAACCTTCCTAGTCTTTTAGCTATATATTATCTAGACATATAATAAAAATAAGCCAGGTCGATATCTGTGCTTTGAAGATATTGAAGAAAAACTAATATAGGGGGTCTTTATTAGAGCAACAGAAGCCAAAACAATAATTTTACATTACACACAAGATAATGGGGGGTAAAAGGTACATATATTGTTTGCAACACCGTTAGCAATGCTACCAACTCTCAAGGCAGGGGACATCTTATGGTGAACGGTCTGTATATAGGTAGGTTTCCTACTTCATTGCACGAAATTTTGGTTGACGTTTCATTTCCATAGGTTTCCTACTTCATTGGTCTATGTACACACATTAGGTTAATTTAGGTTTATTTTTTGACACATACTTTTTTTTTAAGATTATAAGATCTGGTACCGAGATTTTGAAGCGAAGTCTTAAATTATCTTTTTACATATTATTATATAATTTTATTATTAAAAATGATAGAAGCGAAATCAGATGAAGTTGATTAATGTAAGACTTAAGTCGATTGATATCAATTTGAATCTTTAAAATGGTGGTTATTTATAGCCTTTTTCAGTGTTATTTTTCAAAGAACCCTCGAAATCCTAAACAGTGAATAAACCACCGTGATTACAAATTTAAACCTGAATGAACCCTAAATGAAACAATTCACTTAGTTCGTTCCTCGTTTTATTTTTATTTTGGACGAGCTCACCTAGGCCCAACTTATGTTAGGCGGTTACCGGAGCCCGTAGATATCAACAACGTAAATGTCGCCATCCACCTTGAGATATGAATTCTAAGTCTCAGCTTTTTTATAGTACAATGGCAGAAATAGGCAGGCTGGTGATATGCCGTGTAGGCTCACAAAACGTCCTAAGGACGTCTTATCCTTAGGCCACAGTGACATCTGATCCCATCCATCTCTGAAAAAGCCCCATACACAAACATAACGCAACAATTCTAGATTGAATCTAATCCAATCCAATTCAACTTTTTTTTGTTGCATTAAAAGTAATTTTAAATACTTTTTAAATGTTTGAGTCCTTTTAATTAATAATTTCTTTAAAATGATTAATACTGATAATGAGTAAGATATAAGTAAGAGATAAGAATGATAAGCGCACTGAAATACCTGAGAGACAATCCTAAGTAATGAGAAATTCGATAGACATCTTTATTTACTACTTATTTCCTTTCATTTATATCAAATGACTAAATAATAAAAGCGTTATTGTTCTATGTTAAATTAGTTGTTATCGGCGGTTTCTCCTGCATGGTCAATGAAAAGTCTCAATGTACTTTACCGTAGGAATGAAATGTTTTTTTCAAATAAAAAACCTATATCACGCTGTTGGCACCCCGCCACTTTTCAAAAATTATGCCAATCCATTGCATCGTTTCGATTTGAAAGAAGGACAAACAAACATAAAAATATACTTTCGTGTTTTTAATATTAGTATGGATGTAATATGTGTGACGATGAATGATTTTGTGGCGTTTAAGAACGCACATTTTTATGATGCGTAAGCCGGAACGTACGAGATGGAAAAAAGAAGATAAGCGCCTAAAGCGCCTTATTCACGATCCATCTTGCTGTACGTCCCGCCAAGGCCATGCTCGATGCACGATGCATTTAGCGCTTTATTCACGATCCATCACGGCTGTACGTCAGCTCAAGGCCGCGGTGCTGGATGTATCAAGCGCGAACAGAATAAATCGAACGAATTAAATGAGGGTTTTAATTTATTTAAAATGCCAACTGTTTTATCAAAACGCCAAAAATGGGAGATCTTGTCAGCAGCAGCAGAAGAGAGGCAAAAAAGAGCAAGAGGTTTTGGATGATTTTTTTAAACGTGCAGAGTATACTCAAATAATTAATATCATTTTTTACGCACGCTATCAATCCTTGCAGCTTCCCCTAAAATGGGCCTAAAAATTGTAATACGTTTATTATTTTTGGTTTATTCATATAGTCTGCGCTTGAGACATTCCACAAACATGTGGAACTTATTTATTTTTTATTTATTTATTTATTTATACTTTATGCACAAAACAAAACTTGTACACAGGCGGACTTAATGCCATGGGCATTCTCTTCCAGTCGACCATAGGATGGTGCAGAGATAATGCATGGTAGGTGCATTGACAAAAGAATAAAAAACAATAACAACAAAACAAAAAAAAAAGAACAAACTCAAAACAAAAATCTTCCTTAAAATAACATCTCAGTATTATAGAATACACATACTACAATTCAATATACCTATGTATAAAATAGTCAAATACATACATACACATGAAAATACACAATTTAGTATTATAGTTAAGAATGGCTAAAAGTAAATATATATATATATATATATATATATATATATATATATATATATTTACTTGTAAACTGCATGTTGTGTACGTGGCCATAGAGTAAGATGATATATAAGAATGACATTGGCACTGACACACTCAGATAGAGAATTTGATCTTGACCGTGAAGTGATTTATGAAATATTGGAAGTAAAAAACCTTTAATTGTCGATTTTTCTATTTTTAGGTGAATAGATTCACAATGTTTAAATGTTTTTAGTGTTTAATTTTATAATAACAATAAACTTTTCTATTTTTAGATAAATCAAATTTGCGTTATTTACTCCAGTACCATCTGACATATTACAAATCGACAATTGTCAGAGTTTGATTGGATAATAGTAGATCATGAAAAAATTACAATTTGAAGTTGAGCTGGCGGCAGATGAAGACCCGAAGAATAACATCTTGATTATAAAATCAGTAACAAAAGAAGATGGAACAACATATCTCATACCACCATGTTTGCAAGCAGCGAAACATCACCCTCAATTGGTAAAGTTACCAGAATTTTTGAAAATAAAAAAAACATTACAGAGAAGAGGTCATAATAGAAAGATGTGGATGTCCATGCCAAGTGATGTTTTAGCACTATACATGGATGATGCTGAAAATATGGTATTTAATGATTATTTATTACAAGAAATGACTCAAGTCACAAGCCAATCTATTACAGATGGAAAATTATTAGAAATATTAGAGAAATTAAGTGATAAAACCAAGGTCAACAAAGAAAAACATAACAAGTTAAGCAAATTGAATGAAAAATTTGTTTTAAAGAAGTTTGATAACAAAATCACTAACGCCAAACAATGGTTGCAAAATTTTGAGAGTGAATGTACAAGATTTGATTTAAATGATGATACAGAGAAAATTAGTGCTTTGAGATTATTTTTAAATGACTCAGAAAGTGACTGGTATGAGTCTATGTTAATTAAACACAGTTTTACAAGACACTCGATGTTGGGCCCAAAGTATGGCAAAACAAGGTTTTCTACACGCACATTCGCAGATAAAAGATGTTGGTCCTCTGTAATGTATGCATTGAGTTTCAAACATTTAAATGGCTCTCTTCTGGAATATGCATTGAAAAAGCAGAGATTGTTACTCGAGTATAATAGTGATATAGATACCAGAACTCTCACTGATTTAATTGTTATAGGATTGCCAACTTATATTACAAGTAAACTAGATAGACAAGAGGTAACCGACCCAACTCTTCTGTTTAATGCCTTACGGATGCATGAAAGTCAGAATAAATATGTACAAAAACATTTTACTGAAAAG